GGCCTCCAAATTTTTCAATCAGAAAATGCCTTTTAGAAACGGGAAATTATACCATTCTTTAATATTTTAAAATAATACTTCAGTTCTTCTATTCCTAAAACGTGAAAACTTGAAAAAATTGAGGCAATTTCAAAATTTATATAACGAAGAACGGTTTTCCGCTGATAAACAAGCAAAATTTGATTACTAATTCTAAAGTTAAAAGAAGCACTAAAATCGATCAGCCGTATGAAACGCCGCGCCGCCGCCGCTGCCAACAACGGGGTCAAACCGGGGGGCAGACGGGGCGAGGCGAGTTGACGGTTGGGGGAAGTAACGGCAGGGAGGCGGCTGAGCGCCGGTGTGTGAGAGTATCGCGGAGAAGCCTCGAGCCTGCAACACGACGGGCTGTTGCGTGCCCCAGGCAAGTTGTAGTAAATTACTCAACAGTGTTGGAACTGATTGTAGCCACGTTGAAGGGGATATTAGAGGTGCTCACAAATATCGATCATTAGTATTAGGATAAACGGAAGTGCATCGCACAGGACCGGGATCGAGAAAAAACGATTAATATGGAGTTTGAGTGACCGACAGACACGCGTTCCATTCCGCCGGGTGTGATGCAGCAGCGGGCCGCACGTAGCAACAGTGATGGGATGTGATGAGTAATGAACAGTTGTGATCGGACTGCCACGGGACGCCATTCGCCGTTGTGCAAGTTAGTATATGTGCATATGCCTTTGCATTATGGCTGGTGGGGGTGGGATTCCCGGCGAGTTTCGTTGGCCCTTGCATGGGAGGTCGTCGGAGTCCGACCGCCGGAGAAATGCGGGATTACGACAAGCTTCCGGGGGCGACCGAAGTTTGCCGAACACCCGGCGCCCGCGTTTTGCTCAGCCCGAGGGCCACGCTCGCCTCCAGCCCCGGATGGGACCATCGGAAGCTTCAAGGTAGCGTTACTCCGGCACGGAATTATTTAAAAGCGCCCTTGTGCGCACTGCGTATTTGTAAGAGAAATTTATTTATACTAGTGTGTTTCAATCAATTTAAAACTTTCATTTGCACAAAAAAGAGTTCCCTCGATTATCTCCTTACTAATGCAGCAGTCGTCTCATTTACCCCGGACCTATTCACGAACGAATGTGTAACCCGTCTAATTTATATTATTTTATTTGTTCCGATGAGAGTACCTGATTCCCAGTCGACATATATACTATAAGATTACAATATTAACACAGTAGTAATATAAATTATAAATATATAATATATATATATATATACTATATTATATATATATATATATACTTTGGGTGGCGATAGATGGCAGCCCGCAAGAGTATGTGACAAGTCAGAAGAGCTAGCCCAGACCAACGGAAATAGAAAACCAATACGACTAAGTCCCTGCCATTCTGTGGCAGCACTAGTTTCTTTTTATTTGCATTAGAAATTAGCCGCAACCTGTCCCTGCACCAAAGTTTCATTTTCCCATTACGGAGATAGGGGTGGAGGGCTGCGAAGCTCTGCCTTGACTCACCGCGTCGAGGAGGTCGGCGAGCAGCGCTCGTGTCTCCCCGCGGGCGCCCAGCAGCAGCTGGCCCAGGGCGGCGGCGACGCTGAGCGGCGACATGAGCAGGTTGCCCGCGCCGTCCGCCGCGCCCACCAGGCGCTGCAGTCGCGACGCCACGCCCCGCAGAGCCGCCGTGGCGCGCCCCAGCGGCTGGCGCGGCTCCACCCGCACGCTCAGCGGGCCCCCTGCTACATACACGCGCTCACATGAGTGGAGGCAGCAAACTATGTACAACGACAGGAATATTAAGCAAATACAGAAAAAGGAATATAATATGTGGTATAAAAATAAATTTAAAAAAAATAAAAATAAAAAATCTATAAACAGGGCCTAGAACATCTACAAAGTAAACTTACACAATTACGAATTACAGTAATAAAATATTTATTAAACAAATTTTAAAAACATATGTTGTTTGGCCTACTGGATTCATTTTTTAAGACGTCATTTTTATCTTTCAAGCATTGATAGCCATCGTACAAACGGGGGATACAACGTACTGTCTACCTAAGTCAAAAAATTCAATTTTACGTGCAATAAGCAGTCCATTAAATACACATTTAGAAGAAAGACTACAAAGATTGAACTGAAAGAAGCATGATAGAATTTCAAGACGAAACTCCTCTGTGCAGACTAGAGCCGGATTAATATTTTCAGGAGCTTAAACGCAACAAAACTGTAAGCTCCCCCAAATGTATTGAAATAATTAATATATATAACTAAAATCAATTTGAAAATAAAACTAGGATATTTCAATTTACAAATTTAATATTCAAATAATGAATACAATACATACATACATATCTTCGCATTTTAAAAATACATTTCGTGCACACTTTTGTATGGCACTTTTCAAGAAAAGGAATGTTTATCTTTTGATCAGAAGTAAATTCATGATTTCAAACATTTTTACTTATTTACGAATGAATCATTTTGGGTGGGGAACTTATTGGATGGATCGTGTCCAGCAGCTTGCACGTGCGTAGGCAGCCTTCACATGAAACCATTCCGCAGCGCCACTGAGAAGGTAATGAATTTGTTGTCAGGAAACCTCAGTGGCTTTTCCGAGAGGACTAGTGTAAAGGCTTCAATTTAGAACTGTGTTGTACTGGCAGGGGTGCGAAAGGATAACTGCATTGCAGGAGACGGGAGTGCGCCACTCACCATTACAGCTGCGGCACTGAGCCGCTCGTAGGAATATCTCCATTTATACTTCGATTTAAATTTTGAGTCTGTTGACGTAAATCAACAAGAGTCACGTAATCCAATGGGGAACTTGAATTACACCTACCGTAGTGGCGTTTAAACTCCCGATTGGATGACACCGTAACAGCAGAACGTCAACGGACTCAGAAAATAAATCTAAGTTTAAACCAACGCTTTGCCAGCAGCTGCGCCACTCGGGAGTGTTGCCAAGTGGCTCCGCATGAAGGGGTCCTTAGCCTGAAGTCGTAGGCTTCCGCGGCCAGTCATGTGCGTGATCTGGCCTGTCCGGGTGACGCCGCGTCGAAGGCTCGCTTCGACCATCTTGTCGTGGTCTTCCTCAGGGCTGGTATGCTTGATCCCTCAGGGCTGCTATGCAGGACTGGTATTCATACCAGCCCTGAGGAAGACCACGACAAAATGGTCGAAGCGTCGGCAACACAGCCTTCGACGCGGACAGCCTTCACCCGGACAGCCCAGATCACGCACATGACTCTGGCGCGCAGCTACGTTCAGGCTAAGCACCTCGGCGTCACCCGGACAGCCCAGATCACGCACGGGCCCATTAGCCTGTTTATGTGTTAACCCACTGTGGCACTGACCTGCGTTGAGCGCGTCGGGGCGCGCTATGACGCGGGGCTTTGAGCCTGCGGCGAAAGACGATGGGTGGGCGGTCGGCCCAGCGCCCCGGGCGCGTGCTCGCCGCGGCCGCGCCCCTGCGCCGCCGCCGCCCACGCCACGCCAGCAGCACCAGTGGCCGGCGACGCACTGCCATGCGCCTGCGCACACAACATAAAGGAAGGGGTTCTTAGACAAAAATAGTTATTAAGCGTCACTAGGCCGACAGCGTAGGGGAAATAAGGGCCCGTTCCCACGTCGCGACGGCGGTGCGCTTGCGAGCGCCGCGGCTCGTAGCAGAGCATTCGTTTGAATGGAGGCCTTCCCACGTGCAGCGGGTGGCCGCTGCTGCGGCAAGCAGCGGAGAAGCGGACGCAGTTGAAGTTTGTAAACTGAAACCATTGACGCGTTTTATAACCTATCGTGTCCTTTGGGTCCACAGCCCGTTACGGGCCTTGGCCGACCATCTCGGCGATGAGATAAGGGGGTTCCTTGGTGTTGTTAGCAAGAAGACATTCCTCCATCGAATATACTGGTGTTCTTAACCTAAAGGCGGAGGCGATGGTGTGACGGTTGGCGTACCGAACTGTTATACCCAAGCTCGCGGGTTCAAACCCGATCGAAGTCGTGGATTTTTAGGGTGACAAAATCCTTCGTACGTTCCTTCGGAGGGGAAGTATAGCCGGCTGTCCCATGTTAGTAGATTTACTTGCATGTAAAAGATCCTCAAGCCTAAATGACGCCTCTGAGCTAAATTCAAATCGCCTTTTTCTCGCCCAAGAAATAACCCCTTTCTCTGCTAGTTGATGAAAGAAGCGTAGCGAAATTTGCGTGGTCAGACGGAAGAGCGGGCCTTATGGCCCGAGTCTCGCCACGTAAAATAAGGCAAATTCCATTCAATTCAATTCAATTCAATTCAATTCAATTCAAAGGTGAGCTCTCTCAATAGATACTGAAACATTTAAAAGGAATGCGGACAGGAATCGAACCCGGGTTGCGCTGTGGAAAGCGAGCAGGCGAACCAAGAAGAGAGGAGTATTATACCCAAGTATGTCATTTAATTAATCGGCCGTGTTTCGTTCAATATTTTTCATAAAACCATCTTACAAGAAAAAACAAACAAAAAAGAAATAGCATTTATTGTAATAAGTGTACTCACACATCAAAATTAGTTACAATTCATTTGTTTCCATTGTTCGTAATGGATGACTGGAAATGGACTAGGCGCAAGCCTAATCCATGATGTGTAGAAGAAAAAAAACTGCCGCGCAAGTAGAGAAATGGTAACGGACCTCATCTTGAAGCTTGCAGTATATTGTGCAGTTAAATCCGTATCTGCTGCTAAACTTCTTTATCCACTTTAAAGTTCACTTTCATTTACAAATAATCTTCCAAGAATAGTTTTGAAACTACTAAAATACGGAACATTGCATATAAAAATGTTGAAATATTCTAATATATGGGAGTTTTTCTTACGTGGAAATACGTACTACACTTCAACAAATGGGAAAATATTGATAGTCACAATGATGCTTAGGCACTAAACAACTTTCAAGAGCCTGATGCATACACACTTGACAAAAGTTTGATCGTAACTAATCTACAAACAAATATGTCAACAAATACAAATTAAACCCTGGTCAATAACGTCATTCGACCGTTATTTGTAAAATCGGCGATGTGGTGTTCAATGCTTTTCGTAATACAACTTTCTCAAAAGAAAAAACATAAAAAAATGAAAAATTCCTTTTTGTGGAATAGGAGTAATCACACAATTTCTAGCCACAATAATGAGCTACGTCCATTAAGGACGCTGGACTTTATGCGTGGCTCATTATTCTAATTTTGGTGTGATATGTCAACAAAATAGTGCAGTATAATAAAACCTGTTTAAGAAGGTCCAAGACGGTACCTTGAATTTGTTCTGCCTTATCAAACTTCTGTCTTATAAAGAATTATCAAAAATTCACTGCTTTATTTTAAAAAACGTAAAAATAGACATTTCTGACTAGACATTTCAACTTCAATAACATAGTTGATAACTTAACACGCAAAAAAGAAAAATGTGGACAACAGTAAAGGAAAAGGAGTCAATTAAAATACTCTCATCAAAACAGAACAAAAATATACAGGATGATGTATAAAATAATGATAGAACTAAAATTATATATTCCATGAAAGAGAATTACATGCGAGTTTAAACGATTAATATACAATAATAAATACCAGTTAACATAATGTATGAAAAATTAAGATATCGATGTACATTTACATAAATCCAACGTATTTATCTCCATAGACATCAATCTGAAAGCTTAGGTGGCAGTCCCTGTGCTCTTCGGGAATTGCCTACGAGCTACCTAAAGGATCGAAAACAACAAAAAATATTGAAGAAAACGTAATGATCAAAACGTGATTATCGTGATTCACACAGTGCATTAACATGGCTATTCCTAGAAATCCTAGTCCGTCAATTGACCTTAAAATCACGAAAAATCCAAGATCATTCTGCCTCAAATACAGTTCAGGTTACGTTAGCATCTCTTCTAAATTTTCAGGAAATATTCCGAAGTCATTAGCAGGTTTTGAGGGTGACCAATCTGACTGGTTTTGAGGTTTTCCAGGGTCGCCTGTATCAACGCTTTCAAAACAGGTCACGTTCATCTCGCGATACTCTTTTCCTCTTAACCGGTTGACCGAGGCCGAGGTACTTCCCCAACCAACTTCAACTCAAGTGCATCGGCTTAGAGTAGGTCCAAGTAAGTCAATAAGACGGCTTAGGATTACAGTAAAATATCAATATGAAATCAAATTCGTAATACTTCCACAGTTTTTTTCCAAGTTGTTTACGTCCATTTCCAATTCTTTTGTACTTTTACCTATCAATATATTTTAAAAAAGTTTTCCCATCACGTTATAAACTATTGTAGTCAAGAATTCCGTTTTTGATATGTTAAACTGTATCCGAAAACCGTTGAGGTCTATCTTGAAATACATAAGGTTAAATATGAAAATTTTCCCTTCCTGAAAAATCGTCTTTTCTCGCGATACACCATTGTTCATGGCGTTCAAAATAAGTTCTCCAGTATTGTGTTCTCTAGTAGCGCGATAAAAGCAATATTGAAATATTAAAATATGTTTTTTCGTGACAGATTGAAGATTACAAACACAGCTTTGTTTGTTTGTTCATCGGACTTAACTAGTATTCCGGCTTCCAGCCAAATCGATCGACATGCAAAGAGGTTCCGATTCAATCTGGAATTTCTTATTTTATTTACTTATTTTGCTTACATTTCTATACGTTATTATTAAATTAACAAAGTAATTTTTAAGTATTTCTATCTCATATTTCTAGCAGTCTACATTCCTTTGATAATTTTATATTCTGAAATTCTACGTAT